CGGGGCCGGGCCCGCCTGTCATGGCCGGTGCGTCTCCGCAGGGTAGAGCACCTTTCTCAGTGCCAAGAGATTGATTCCAACTTCTTTGCTGCTCTCGTGCTTCCAGGTGACCCTCTTTGTCTACTCCGACCTGCTGCTCTTCACCAAGGAGGACGAGCCTGGGCGCTGCAACGTGCTGAGGAACCCTCTCTACCTGCAGAGTGTCAAGCTCCAGGAGGGTGAGTGTCTGCAGCAGCACCTGGAGACATTTGGGGCATTTTTGGGGCCGCTGGCTATAAAGGATTTTGGCCAGCAGCAGGATAGCACCCCGCTGTCCCATTGCTTCTAGTATGTAACAGTACCATAGAATCACAGAATAGTAGGGGTTGGAAGGGACCTCTGTGGGTCATCTAGTCCAACCCTCCTGCCGAAGCAGGGTCACCTACAGCATCCAACTGGCGCTGCCAGATCATCCTTCCTTGGGCTGCAGGGCCCGCATCACCCTTCCCGTCCCTGCATTAACCCAGTCCTCGGGAGCTCCATCTCCTGGGACCCCTCCGGGGCACTCGGGTGGCACCGCTTTCCAGGGCTTTTTGGGTGCGTCTCTCGGGGGTTTTGGGCTGGCATTCCCCAGGGTCGTGCTGGGCTGGGCTGTTCCCCTTGCTGGTGTTGCAGCGCCTGTGGCGGGGGGGAGGCTTGAGGTTTCCCCCACGGTGCCTCGAGAGAGTTCAGACGTTGTCTCCAAGGCAGTCTGGCTAAGCTGTAGTGACCTGTACTTTGTCACTTGTCCCTTCAGCCGCCCACGTTTTCCCCCGCGCTAGCATGCCTCCCCCACGCACACCCCATTGGTGAGGGCAGAGCAGACCCTGGCCTTGGTGGGTGGCTGTGGACCATGCCCTTGCTCTGCTCACCTCGACTGGACCTTCACGTCCAGCTGAGGGCTTGGGGAGGGCTTCTAGGGCAGGGGGTGACTTGAAATCAGTTGTTTCATGTTGAAAGGCTGAGGCTGTGTGGAAGGTGGCCTTCAGCTACTCGGGGTCAAAAGAGGAATGAATGAATTGCTCGACCACATCCTATTTGCTACGGCGGAGCTACTTCTTGGCCGCGGGCCCAGTCCCACCTCGTTCCTTCTTTGGTGCCGTCGCATTTTGGGTGCGGGTTTGTGTTGTGTGCAGTCGGCGTGGGGCTGGTGGAACCCAGGCAGCGGGTGTCGCTGTGCCGGGGACCGACGTGGGAAATTGTGGTTAGATGTGAGGAAAAACTTCTCTGTGGTGAGGCTGGTCAAATATGAAGTTGCCCAGAGAGGCTGTGTGACCTCCATCCCTGCGGGTGTTCAGGACTCAGCTGGGTGCTTTGGGCAGGGGCTTGGATGAGAGACCCCCCAAGGGGCCCCTTCCAACCCGCACGGCTCTGTAACTCTGTGAGCTGATGTCTTTATGCAGTCCCGCGGCCCTGACCAACAGGGGTTATTCCAGATCTGGGCTGCTTCTCCAAAGGGATCATTTTCTGGATCAATTTTGCCACGTCCCATGATTTTACCCAGCCGAGTTTTGAGCTCTGTGGATGAGCTGCATCTCTCCACGTGCCCCATATTGTTGTGAGCCTCAGTGCTGGGGATCTGCCGTGCTACGCCAGACACCGCAGGCTGCCTGTCAGTTGTTATGTCCCATTTCCAATAACGTTTCTGCTCCCGGATTAATTCACTGGCCTGTTTGGTGGGGGCAGAAATGCAGGGAGGGAGAGCGGGTGCCACGGCACGAGCCGCCGAGCGAAGCCATTGAAGCTTCCCTGCGATTTGTTAAGTTTGTTCTCAGCGCTGCTTGTTTCTAAGAAACGGACAAAAGAAATTGTTCCTCGTGGAAGGGCTGGTTGGTCAGCGTCCGCTCCTGTGACGCGCACGCGTGCCGCCCCCGGCTGCGGAATAACCCTGCTCTTGTTCGCCTCCCTGAAGGAGTCGGCTTCGCCAGTGCCGGTCCCGGCTCTGTGTACGAAGGTCTGTCTGTCTGCAGCTCGGCACAGGAACGCGCCTCCTAACCTCGGGCAAAGCGGTTGGATTTCGTGCATGGTTTTCTGCCACTTATTTCCTTGTTGCTGTAATAACTTGGCTGGATCACATCTGGAATAGCTGAGCAAGCCTCTCCAGAGGGGATGTTTGTCTCTGCAGCACTGAACCACCCTCTGCAAGCTGGGAATCCAGCACAGTCGGTTTTCAGGCAGCTCACCCTCCCGGTTTGGGCAGGACCAATTCAAAGGCGAGTGGACCAAGCAAAAAGATGTCCGTCCCTTTTGGCAGGGGTTTTCTGTTGGTCTCCTAACTAACTGAATGGCACATTAATAGGAACAGGCGTATTGCTGAGTACAACAATTGAGACATCTCCGGTACGCCGAAGACCATTGTGATGTTTCCTGTTTCTGCCGCTCGCTGCCCTGTGCGAAAGCAAATCAGTGTAGTCTGCTTTACAATGCTCTGTCTTCCTGCTTTAGAAGCTGAGCGGGGTTGATGAGCACCACACCGGCCAATGTTTCCAGTGTGACAGGGCTGGCTTCCTCACTAGATACTGTGGGAATTTCCGTGTGAAAGTCACCGCCTCGCTGGGATCCAGGCCCCCCGGGGTGGGTGCGCTCGGCTTTGGGACAGTGAAGAGCGCTCCTGGTTTGCAGCCGGAATGAAGACCCCCAGGCTGTGAGCCCCGTCCCCAGCCAGGATCCTGCAAACGAAGACTTTTCATGTGCTGGCTTGCTGTGTCCCGCATCCCAACCCGCCGTGTCTCGCAGCGATCCACTCCGAGTCAGGCGCTCAGAGTAGGATTTATGGGGCTTCTGCCCCCCCATAGCTTCTCCTGTGGGAAGCACCCAGGGCTTGCACCTTGCCACACCTCCCTGGGGACGTGTGCCACGGAGGGTGGTAAGCTTGTCCCCACTTGGGAGCCAGGTTTGGAGGTGCACAACAGCCTTCCTCTCTGCCCATGCACCCAGCGCCCTGCAGCATCCTGCCCTGAGCCCCTCATCGAGTGCCCGACGCAGCTGATCCTCGCTGCGCGTACGCGAGGGGCTGGGGAGCGGGGAGTCTGCCCTCGCCGTGGGCATTGCCACGGTCCCCTGCGCTGTGCCGCGAGGATGAGGAAAGCAGCAGGACTGTCTTCCCACTTTTCCCGTCTTTTTGACCCAGCAGCCGGCGTGCACCGTCCGGATCCTGCACGCAGCGGGTGTTTCCCATGGGTTGCACGTGGATTGCGGGCAGAGCCGGGCCGGCACTGAAAGCTGCCGTTGTGCCAGGAGCTGTGTAAGAGCCTGCCCCGCGCGTCAGCATGGGTGCGCAGGACGAGGCTTAGCCGGGGAGCGGGACGTGTCCCCGCAGAGCTCGCACCCTCCTCTGTCTGTGCTGAGCGCGCGCCGCAGCCCAGCCCGGGGGCAGGGACGGTTCGGGATACGCTGAAAGGCAAGCCAGTCCCCACCGCAGCGCACCAGGAAGAAACGAAAATATATTCCAGTGAGTTTTTTTCCTCCTGCTTATTTCTTTTTAGCATTTTACTGAATTTGGCTGAGCGTATGTGCTGTTCGGCTGTCACGAGGGGTGCGGACGTTGTGCTGCCTGGGGATCGGAGTCCCGGGATAGCCCGGGCGGCCGGCTGCCGCCTGCCCGGCGCGAGGTTGTGCCCCTTCTCTTGTCTTTTGTGGCCTCTGGTCCGTGGTGCAGGAGGTGAAAAGTCCACATCGCGTGGCTCTGGGGCACAGCGGGCTCCGGCACACCAGCCTGACCCTCCGGAGACTGGAGAAATCTCCAGCGGAAGAAATTCCGGCAGACCTGGTCTGTGCTGAGATCTGCGCTCGGGTCTGCCCTTCCCGGCTCTGCCTTCGCTCTCCTGCCTCTGCTGCGCCTCGCCGGGGCTTGGCACCAGCTCAAGCCCAGCGGCTGGGCAGGGCAGCCAGCCTCTCGCCTCCCATTTGTGTTCTGTTTAAAGGCAATTAGTGGTAGAAAATGGGCTTTAAGCAGTTCCTTAGCCTAGGCTGGCTCCCTGTTTTGTGTGGCCTGTAGGCACTGGGCTGCTTGGCCGTGTGTAGGAGTGAGCCTGGGAGAGACAAGGGGACAGGAGCTGCTGGTGGTGGAGGTTGCGAATGCTGGGATTCATAGCTCAATGGAGAGGAGTTTGGAAGGGAACTTGAATTCTGATGGTTTTGGGCTGTGTCAGCGTCACTTGTTATTGCAGAAGGAATAAACAGAGGCCCAAGAGAAGCGGGGTCATTCCCAGGGCTGTTTCCCTCCGACGTCGCCTTTCTTTGCTGAGGGTGCATGTCTCCAGAGGGTAACCTGTTCCTCACATCAGCTGAGAGAGCCGGGCTAAAGCTCTGGAGGGAAAGTGGCTGGGACATGCAGGTCCTCTGCAGTCTGCTTTGCAAGGTGGCCTGGCGAGCTTTGGTCATGGTGCAGGGAGGAGCAGCGAGCCCCGCTGAGAAGATGGGCTGTTTTTTGTACTGCTGACCGCTTGGGAAGCAGAAGCAGTAGAAGGGGACGGTGGACTCGTGGTGTGCCAGCAGCGGGCTCAGATCCTGCCTCCAAACCCTCCCTCAAGGGGAGAAGCACTGGCTGCGGGGCTCCTGTTGGAGGCTTTGGCTTAGCAAGGAAAATGGTCCCTGATGGTCCTGCTGGGATTCGCGGCAGAGGGTGCCGGGAGAGTGCAGGCAGAGCCGTGGAGAGTGGCAAGTGGTGGTTCTGTGGTGCAGAGGTCAGACACGGGCTCCCAGCCAGGCCCATTCAGAACGTGCTCTTGGGGGCCAGCACTGCTCCCCTTCTGTAAGCGAAGACTTGGAAGGGGATTTCTGGAGCCCTTTGGTTGGCAGCTCTGGGGCCAGGCTGCTTCCCTGTCCCTCACAGTGCCGGGGATGGAGCAGGCTGAAGCTTGTGAAAACACACAAGGACTCATCATCTGAGAGGTCCGCAGCAGTGCTCCCGGTGGTGCTGGGCTCCAGCGGCCGCTGTGGCACGGTGTCGTGGTGTCCCCGTAATGATGTTTCAGCTCGTTTCCTCCAGCGTGCCCTACAAATGAAGCTGGCAGCGGAGACAGGCCTGCCATCCCCCAAAGGGCAGCTGGGAGAGATACCCAGCAAACAGCTCCAGGCCGTTGTGCTTCTTCATGGGTTTCACGTTGCCCATGGAGTGACTCAAGAGGCATCTGAGTCCTTCAATGGGTCACAGCTCTTATCTTGACGTTTGGGCTGCTGCCTGCAGCAGAAGAATTGCTTTCCTCTGGGGAACAGGGTGTTTCCACCGCATTACAGAGCCTGTTCCCATCGTTAGCGCAGCTCAGGCTGTTGAAATGAAGCAGAGCTTGTGCTGACACCGCTTTGAATAGGATCTGCGGCCGTGCCCAGACTGCAGACCTGATCTCATGGTGGAGATAATGTCATTAAACGGGTTATGAAAGCTGCAGCCCAGCGGTGCTGTATGCTGCCAAGGGCAAATCTGGTGCAGAGCATGTTGGTGTGAAGGAGCGAGCCGGCTTCAGGAGATCGGATGTCCTGCTTCAGAGTTGAGGTGACCATGTCCTTTGGCATCATGTCCTCCTGCAATGCTGATGTATGCTAGGAGCTGGGTTCCCTCGGGGCTGGGTACTCATGCCTCACCAGCAATGAAAAAAAAAAGGAATGCCTTTTTCTTGGTGACAGGGAACGCTAGGCCTGCAGGAACTAGCCTGGTGGAGCAGCTGGAGCAGAACACATCCCCTGGGATAGCTGGCAGCAAGGTGGGGAGCCGAACTGGACTGCTCCGTGACTTAGCAAGGCATGGATCGCAATTTTGGTCATTTCATTGCCTCCAGCACCATCTCCATTCCTGAAGCTGTGGAAGAGCAAGTCCCTTGGCAGTGCCACGCTGGCAGGAGCTTGGGCAGTTTGCCCTCAGCCTGGTGGAGCAGGGCTTTCCCCACTGCCCCGTGTCAGCTGCTCCCATTGCCCTGGGATTCGGCTCTGTCTCCTTGGAGAGGCACCGACCCCAACCACTGGCACTGATGGGAGCTGGGACACACAGCACCAGACAGAGATACCACCAGCCTCACCTAGGGCTTGGGGCAAGAAGCTGGGAATGAGCAAGGACGTAGGAACAGGAGCTGCTCTGGTTAGTCCTCCTGGGAGCAAAGCGTGTGCAGAGGTAAGGTGGGAGAGAGCCGACCCCGGTGCCCAGGATGGCTGCGTGGGCACTGCGGGCGCTCCGCAGCCCCCGGGAAGGAGTCGGGCAGCACGTGCCGTGGCAGGGCGGGCAGAAGAGCCTGTGCTTGGCCTCTGGATGAAACAAACCTTCTTCCAGAAGGACAAACCCAACGGAGAATCCATGATAGCACATGGTCCCTGCAGATGCAGCATACATCACTCCCGGATCACAGCCTGGTACTGTAGGATGACAACAATAAATATTCATTAAATGCTGTCTCTTAGCCAATTCCTCTGCCAGTCTCGCTGCTTGCAGAAATGCAGTTGTAGCTTAATGTTGATCCTGTGTTTTTCTTCTTTGTAGGTTTGGAAGATCGGAAATTCTGCATCCTTTACCTTGCGGAGGTGAGTGGTGCTCTTTTCCGAATGAACTTGCTGGTGGGAACTGAACATGAACTGACTATGCTGATCCTGTCTGCTGGGGCAAGGAGCACTGAACGGGCTGATTTTAACTTCCTTTTTAATTAATTTGCCAGAGGTTGGGAAAGGAAGCATAACGCCCGTAGCCAGAATACATTAGTAAGAAGCTGCTAAAAGGAATCTGTGGCTGGGGAGGCTGGGCAGCACCGGGACAGGTTTGCTTTTCCCCTTCCCCCTGCGCGCTGTAGGTGGGTCTTCCTCCACGCATCTCACTTTCGATTTGTCTTGGGATTCTTCTCCCTGGGGGCAGACTTCCTTGCCAACTGTTCTGTCTTTGTTTTTTAGGCATCTTGCTTTTCTTGTCTTCAAGCACTCAGGTTTGAAGCCCTCAAATAAAATGAGGAAGCTTGATCTAAATGACGTATAATCATAGCTCTGAAAACACGTGTGGCTGGTACATGGCTAAATGCTCTGAACAGATTTGCAGTCACTCGGGCATCGGCACAGTGATGTTTGTGTCATGAAGCAGCCAAGGAGACTGCAAAATTGGTTCACGGTGACTGGACCTGCCTGCTCATTGAATGCTATGGCTTTTGTTCCTTTTCAAGTGACTTTACTCTCTTCCTGGATTCAAGGCCTTGTATTTTCAGGGGTGGAAATTTTGGTCTGGGAAAGATCCCCAGGGCACAGAGGAGAAAGGCAAACATTGCTCAGCAGCACCACGAAATAATAAGCTATTGTGAAAGTTGGATAAAACCGTTCAGAATGAAAGTTGTTCACCTTGAGTGGCTGGGATTTGGGCCAAGGCACGACTCGCTGCATAACTGTGGGCTGACGAATTCACTCTCATGTTTCCTTCTTATTCCTTCCTTGTCTCCGCTATTTCTTCCTGGAGCGGTGGGGCAGGAGCTGCCTGCTCGGGGGTTTGCTCACTGCGTGTCCCGGTGTAACGTCAGGCTTGCGTGATGACTCCCTGCCCGGCTAATCCTGTGCTGTGACTCAGAAAGGCTGCGACGGGTGTTCGTGGGCAACATCCCGACAGTGGGATGAGGCCCTCCTGCATTTTCTCATACATTTGGAGAAATGCTTTTGGAGCCTGATGTTTAATTTAGAAGCTTCGGGCCCCCAAGTAGAAGCGACTGAAAGAGAACTGGCTGCATTTCATGAGATCTTGGGAGAGGAAAACTCATCTTTGTCAAGCTGTAATGAAGTGCTTGGCTTCCTTCTGATGGGCTTAAATGGCTCTCGCACCTCTGGTGACAGATCTGTGGCATCCATTGCAGTTGGAGTGTAGTAGTTCTATAGAAAACGGGAACTATTTGCTTTCCCGTGTGCATGCTCCCCCACAGAGGTCAGTCGGTCTGGACAGGGCAGGATGCTGGGGTTCTGCAAACCCCTTCTTGTTGCCCCTGTCTGCTCGAGGTATTTCGGAGCAGGTCGCGAGTGGAGCGGGAGCTTCCTGACCACTGGTGACCAGCAGGTCTGCCCCGTGCCTGTCCCCGAGGAATGGCTGCTCACACCCTGCGCTCTGCCAGCCCGCGCTTGCGGGTGACACCAGGGCAGCCCCTGGCTCACGGCCGGCGTCCCGCTGAGCAGGGCATTCCCTCCCGGACCCCACGGGCTTCCTTTGAGGCTGGTGGTCTGCGCCGAGCTAGGGAGATCAGGCTGATGAGACATCTGCCTGTGGGTAGATGGGGAGGGGTTCTCCAGCCGTGTGGTTTGGCTGCATCTTTCTTGCAAGGAACGGAGAATGTGGCTTTTATGTGTCTGCCATGAGTGTACAGCACGGATAGAAACAGCCAGCTTCAAGGTTCAGGGAACAGTGCACTTCCAGCCGTAAGTCTCGCCAGACTCCCCAGCAATGGGCAATTTTAGTTTTAAAAGGGGAAGCTGAGGCACAGAGAGGGGGACGTGCCTGTGAGTCAGCAGCGAGCCGGGGCAGAACGGTGCTCTCCGGACTTCCCCATGGCTACTCTTCTGGGAAACGATGACCTGCAAGTCACAATCCTGAGAACTATGTAGAGCGGGTGACCAGGCTGCAAGGACACGGGCTGGTGGTTAAAGCATGAGAGCAGAAACCTCTTACTTTTGCAGTGTGGGGGTTGTGTGGCTCAGTGGAGTGTCCTCAGTGGAGGCAGACCTGAGGCAAATGGAGATGGGCTCTGCTGAAGTGATGGGATGCTGTCGTGGGAGCATTTAAGCATCTTCTTCCTGCAGGGAAGCTAAGAAGAGAGTCACCTTCAGGTCATCTCTATTTTCTTCTTTGCATTCACTTGTCAGGAGCAAAGCTTTAGTGACAGGGTTGTGGGGGTGTCACCAGGAGGTTTTAAGGCTTGGCAGCCCGTTGGAGGGAGGGGATGGTCCCCCTCAGAGGCGTTCCTGCGGACTGGCTGCACGCAGAGGCATTGAGGGGGCTTGGATCCCTCGCCGGGCTGGTGGGAGCATCAGTTTGTGGTGTGAGGGTTGTGTTTGCAGTGGGGTGGCTTCAAGGCATGGCCTGCTGTCGAATGGAAGCTGGGGTTCGGGTCCAGTGAAGTGGCACTCCCGTGTTGCAGCAGCACGAGGGGCTGGGGGGGGGTCTGCGGGCCAGGCCAGCGTGGCTCTACCCATTGCCTGATGGATGTGGTGTCCACAGGGTGCCACGCTCCGACTGTGTCACCTACTTTCGCCCTGCTGCAAGGCTCACCCTTCTTCCCGACTGTGGGAATGAGATAGTTTCCCTCTGCAGGGATGGCTTCCCACGGAGAGGGGCTGGCTCTGCCCCGGGGCCGCGCTCGCTGCCGGGAGTCAGGGTGGAGGGAAGCTCGGGAGGACATCCCTGGCAGGGTGCTGGCCCTGCCTCTCTGCGGGCACCCTCAGCTCTCAGCAACGTGGTGCAGCAGTGGCTGGGGCCTGCTGGCAGACATGGCTGTCCCGCTGCCCACCCCGATGGCTGCTTGTGGCAGCTGGAAAGCTTTGTGTGAGGATGCGTAAGGGAAGGGCGCTTGGGTGGGCATAGCTTTTTGGTCCCATGCCACCTTGATGGGTCTCTGCCCCTCCTGATCTGCTCCTGTCCTGCCCTTTGCAGCACGTGCTCCGTCCCTGGGCTTGCCAGCAGTGGTTTACGCTGCTGGAAGCTTTTTGCTGGCTCAGCTCTGCTGGCTGGTCTGCTGCGGGGTGGAGGTGATGGGTTTAGGGGGTTTGGTGGTGGTCGTGGTCTGAGCTCTTTTGTCACCAGGGTCTGGGCAGACGCATCCATTGTGCTGCCATGACAGGGCCCGGGAGGTTGGTAGCAGCTCTTGTACTGCCGTTTCTTACACACAAATCATCTGCAACAAGCAGTAATGTATTTAGTGCTGCTGCGAGTGGAAAGGGAGCCCACGGGGCCGGGCTGACTGTGTTTGCTGCGGGAATAGCTCTTTGCCGAGGCCTTAAGCTGCTGTCTCCTGCTCCTTCTCATCTGGAAGGTTTGTGAGTAATGTTCTGGCCCATAAGGTCACATTTTTGCATTTGGATCTGGCGTGCTCCAAAATAAAAGTGTGTTTCAATATCTGCGAGTTGCTTAATTTATTTTAAAGAAGAAAGAACATTCCAACCTTCAGGGAAACTGGAGTGTCATAAAAAAGCTACTGCTAGTCATCCTGCCTAATCACGTGCAAATAAATCGCTCCACAGAGTGGAAGTCCTCTGCATTCTGGTTATTTGCAGTCGTGTAGCAAACAGTAATCTTCAGAGCCCGGCGTAGGTTACAGCAGAAGAGGTGTTTATTTTACAGGCTCTTCGGCGTGTGAATTGCGGTGCTTGGAGGTCCCAACCCCAGTGGGACACGTGGCCTCCTGGAAGGGGAGGGCTAAATATAGGTCGGTGTTGGAAAGAATGCAGAAATAGGGGAAGGCTCTTCACTGAGCTGTCCGTTCCTGGTGGTTTTGTTCCTCGTGGTCGTCATGGGGTAGCTGCGACAGTCCCAGCTCATAAGCCAGCCAGGATTTTGGAAGTGATCTGATGAATACTGTCTATACCTGGAAGCTTGCCTAATTTTTCTAATTGCCAGCTGATAGATGAAAAAGTACCACTAATGCATACAAACCTGGTCTAGCCTATGTATCATTTCAGTATTTTAAATCCAAATAGAACAGTTTAAAGCCAGCTGAACAGATCCTCCTTGTGAAAGCTTTGGGCTGATTTAGTGTGGGCCCGCGTTTCTGCACCCCAGAGGATTTGGAGTGGGGGAGTTTGGCCCCGTTTCCCCCTGCCCACGCGCCGTTCCCTGCAGGGCACGTACACCGCTGGTGAGGACGCGTGTAAAACCTGTCAGAAGAAAACGTTTGCTGCGTGGTGGGAGTCGGTAGCCTCACAGGGAGCCAGTCCAGAGATGTGAATGTGGTCCAGGGCGGTATTCACACCCTTCCCCGCTCCGGAAACATCCTACTGATAGGAAACTGCAGATCAGTGTTTTATTGCATTGTTACAAGTTTTTGATTTGAACCCAACATATTCAGACCAGATTGACTTAATATCAAACAGCTCGGTAAGTTTTTTGCACTAGCAGAATTGATCTTTTTCTCTGAAAGTTTTCATCTGCAGACGCTGGAGTTTCCCTTGGGAAACTACTCCAACAGAAAACCTTTCCAACAGCAGCTTTGTGGCCTGCTGCGATGAGCACACCTACAGACCCGAGCAAATTAATGCTTGTGGGTCTGTGCTTGGCCTTGTTTTGCCGTGGAGATGCACGCCCTGACTCTGCCCGGGACACGCTCTATGCAAGCGTCGGAGAAGTGACACTGTTCCGTCCCGTGCCCTGGCTCCGTGGGGACACATCCCTGCCCCCGTGGGGTCCCCCGTGGGCACTGTTGCTGTTTGCATCCTTGAGCTGAGTCCAGGCTGCTGGCAAGGACGCGCTTTGAGCAAATGCTCTTTAAGATGCACCGCTCCTGTAGGGAGGGGCAACACTGATGTGCCGAGCTCTGTAGCCTTCACTCCCAGCTTGGTCCATAAGGGAATTAATT